CGCTGCAGCCGCACTCGCCCGCGTGCGCGGCGTGCACGTGCGCGGCGCTCACATCGCCCTTTCCGGCTGGTGGTGCGCTGCCGCGGCGGCGGCGGCTGGGATGGCGGCGGCGAGCGCGGGCGCGTGCGCGTGCGGCGCGGGCAGCGCGGGCGAGTGCGGCTGCAGCGCGGCGCTCGGCGGCCGGTGGCGCGCGCTCTTCTGGTGGGCGCGCAGGCCGGCCAGCTGCGAGTAGGCGCTCTGGCACACCTGGCACTTGTAGGGGCGCTCGCCCGTGTGCAGGCGCACGTGGTTGCGCAGCGTGGACGACTGGCTGAAGCGGCGGTTGCAGAAGCGGCACACGAAGGGCTTGTCCAGCGTGTGGATGCGCATGTGCGAGCGCAGGTTGCTGCGCGAGTTGAAGCCGCGGTGGCAGATGACGCAGCGCATGCGGCCCGCGCTGCCTGCCGCCGAGTCCGCCGGGTGGAAGTCCTCTGGCCGCGCGGGCGGGGCGCGGTGGGGGGCAGGTGCAGGGGGAGAGAGAACAGCCTCGTTACGACCGGCGCCCGGCCGGTCCCGCCCCGCCCGCCTCGGATCCACGGGGGTGAGGGCGCGGGTCTGAGCAGGCTGCTTGGCGGCGCTGCCAGAGGGATGGGAGGAACTTGAGGTCGAAGAGGAGTTGGACTCCAGACCGTGCTGAGAGACTTCGGGGGCTGAGTGACTTTGCCCCCGAACCTCAACGTCCTCATCTGTAAAATGGGTACCGACTACGACCTCGCGGGGCTATGCACAACTTCCGGAGATGATCATAAAAACCTGCACTTTACCTCCCTTAGCCTGTATACGGGAGGAACCTCATTCAAAGTAGCCATCTGTAAATGGCAGGCTTCCACAAAAGGTCCCCCCCCCAAAAAAAACCCTTTCATTTATTCATCCCACAAATATGTACTGAGTGCCTACTATGTACCAGGGAACTGCGCCTCACCTTTCACATTGCTGAGATGGAGGTAATGGTAACATCACCCCCATAAGCCCGCTGTGAGCATCAGAGAAATTACTGTTTGTAAAACATTCGCTCATAAATAGTAGTTCATGAGCCTCGGGTTCTCCCTCTAACCAGATTTCACAAGGGTTTTATGAGGACCCAAGTGGGGTGATACCTGTAAAAGGTTCAGCTCAATACTTGGTATGAAATAGGACTTGGGCAAACGGTGTCTATTGTGATGACCAGTATCCCCCACAACACACACACAGGCACACTGTACTCCACCTTCATTCAACAGGTTAAAACCAAGCGCCTCCACCAGGCCCTGCACCAGGGACAGAGGGAAATATACATTGTCAGAGCTGGAAGGGGGTTTAAAGATCATCTCAGTTTGGGACCAACATCTTGCCTTTACAGATGGAGAAACTGAGGCACAGAGCCCTTCCCAGGATTGTACAGCAGAACGGGAACTCAATCTAGGCTCCCACCACGGGGCCCTTATTCCTTCTGCCTCTCGGGTATTCTGCCCACGCAACCTGCCCCCAGATAATTTATTTTGTCCAGAAAACAGTGCCATTTGTGTCCAGACTGTGGTGGTAGCTCTGGCGGGCGTTGGCCTGCTTAAGCCAGTAGCCTCATGGGCTTGATACTGCTGGAGATTGAACCCGGGTCCCTGGATGCCAGGAGCGTGCCGGCCACAAACAGGTGCACGCGCTCACTCACTCTCTCACTCTGGGTTCCAGGGGTCCCTTGTCATTGTGGCCTCACAGAGGCTACCTACCATGCTTATTCTTCTTCTGCTCCTCCTCCAGCCCGGGCACACCAGGGATCCCCAGGAAAGTGTTGTGTGAGTTTCCATACCACACCAGCAGCTCCTGGTCAGGCGGGATCATCTACAGAGAAGAAAGGCAGATAAGATCAGGGAGGCAGCAGGCCCCGGGGGTGAGAGTCAGAGTCTCTGCACGTGCCCCTGGAGCCAGGGGGCAGCTGTCCTGCACCTGCCATGGAGATGTGGATCCAGTCTCGGCCCCGAGAAAGCCACACGGGCCATCGCTAGCAAGCTGCGAAAACACACGGGGCGCCTAGGTGGCTCAGTGGGTTAAAGCCTCTGCCTTTGGCTTGGGTCATGATCCCAGGGTCCTAGGATCGAGCCCCGCATCTGGCTCTCTGCTCCACAGGGAGCCTGCTTCCTCCTCTCTCTCTCTCTCTCTGTCAAATAAATGGATAAAATCCTTAAAAAAAAAAAAAAAAAAAGCTGTGGAAACACAGAAGGCCCTGGGATGCTCAGCCCCTGCCCCTTCCCTACTTCCCCCTCCCAGCCCAGGCCTTCTGGCCATTTCTGTCCTAGCTGCTGTAGCCGCCCAGCCACGTAAGAGTTCCAAAGTGACAGCCACAGAATGCAAGGCTTGTAGCAAGGTGAGGCACTGGAAGAAGGAAAGCGAGAAAACGTTTCCTTTCTTACTGAGGGGAACCAGCGTCAGCCAGCCCTCTGGTCAGTAGGACTGAACCAGATGTTCCCAAAGAGCGTGGGCTGCGGGGCACCCATGGTACTTAGTTACATCCTGTCTGATAATGTTCTGGAAACATCTCTCACGCAAAACGCCCACAAGGCAGCAGCCTCTCCCGATCACAGGCTCTGTGTGACTCCGTGCACACGGCAAATGCTAAAAAAGAACCATTGGGGTGGAGGGAACCCCCCCACACACACCTCAGGAAACACTGAGACACACAGCCTGGAACAAAATCCATTCCTGCAGGACGGAACTCGACAGATGGTGACAGTTCTCTGCTAATCCCAGGGAGGACCTGCACCAGGGAAATGGGAAGGCCCCTGGGAGGAAGGGTTTGCAGTGACAGTCCCGGGAGGCTGTGGAAGGCCTGCTCCTGGGGAGGCACGGACCATAAATCCCTCACTCCGGGATGTCCCCAGGGGCCCATAGGCCTGTGGTGAAAGCCAGTTAGCCCTCCCAAGTGGGGAACCTTCAGGCCCCAGCCAGCTAAGACAAATGAGAGAGATGGGGCGCCTGGGCTGGCTCAGTCCGTGGAGCGGGCGACTTTTGATCTCAGGGTTGTGAGTTCAAGCCCCACACTGGGTGTAGAGAAGACTTAAAAATAAAATCTTTAAAAAAAGAAAAGACTGTTGAAAGAGCCCCCACCCTCCCAAGCCTGCACCCCATAGAGCTCAATTTGCCACCTATCCTGGGGGTCACTCTCTGAGCTTCCCAGGGAAATCTGGCCACACCCAGGCAGCAACTGGTTTGCTTTCCTCCTGGGTCCTCAGCCGCCTCAAAGGAGTTAAAGTGCCAAAGATTCCATCTTGGGGTGTCTGAAATCACGCAAGAATAGGACCCCCTCTTTTGGGTTCCCTGCTTACAGAGAAGGCCCACCCCTTCCATCTGACTCTGGCCTGCCACATGCAACACGCTTCTGTACCACAGCTTCCTTCCTCTGGTCAGAGGCAGGAAGACCCTCAGACCACCAGCCAGCTCTGCTCGGCCCTGAAAGGAGAGGGGCAGGAGAGGAGGGGTGGAGGAAGAAAAGTGTGAGGGGGTCTGGTCACGGCCAGCCTCCTGAGGCTCAGCCTGGGGCCACTGTGTCCCTGCCCCCACGGCCTGTGGGCCATCACATCAAGCTCTCGGGGTCAGTGAGTGACCTGAAGCCAGGCAGAAAGTGCCAAACTGGCTCAGAGGTACAGGGTCCAAATATGGAAGAGTCAAGTACAGTCCCTGAACCCGAGGAAAATAAGGTGGCCCCTCAAAGAGAGCACGCAGGTTAGAATCTGGCACCACGGCAGAAGTCCTCGAGGCCATTCACAGTCATGGCCGTCATCCTGGGGGTCAGTGGGGCAGAGCTGGAGGCCCTGCTGGAAAGGGGACAGAGAAGACAGAGGTTTCGTGAGTCCCCTAGAAAAGAGGAGGGAGGAAGGGAAACACTTAAGATCAGTTTGTTGCGAAGGAAACTGCTCCCTGTGGGAGGGTGCCAATGGACCCTGGGCCACCGGGCCCCTGGGTGACCTTAGGCAAGCACTTATCCCCTCTAAGCTTGTGTCCTCAAGTGAGGAGGTGGGGGAACGCGATCCCTGAGGTCCCCCAACTCTGAGACTCTGATTGTAAGTCACCTCTTACACTGTCCCGGCCCCTGGCTTCGATGTTCACAATCGGGGTTCTTTGAAAGCAACCAGCCCCCCATCAGACTTGTCTGAAGAGGAGACAGCACTGGCAGAGGTCACATCTCACGTCAGGGTCCACCTGGGCTCCTCACCTGCTGAGCAAGTTGCATTCTGGTGCTGGGCCTCTGTTTCTGGGACTATAAAAGAGGGACAGTGCCCCTGCTCAGCCTCATGGGTTCAGGGCTCAGCGGAGCCGTGTGCAGAAAACTTTGCAGGGTGGATGGACGCAGGAGCGCGTGTTATAATTTTCCCTGAGCTCGCCAGCATCTCAGGAAAGTCCCCCAGTGCTCCCCACAGAGCCTGCAGTGTGGCTTGGGGCCATGGGCACAGTTAAAACCCAGGGTGACTGGTGGCTTTGCCTTCAGGGACCAACAACATCACAGGCTGGGCTCCGGTGCCACTGCTTCCTGCTTTGCTGGGGCACGGGGTGGGGGGCACCCCCAGGGAGAGCACAGATGTGCAGAGCAGACTCTGCAAGCCCCCAGCGGATATGGCCCTAAGTTGCACCTCCAGATTCTCAGCCCAGGAATCAAATGTCCAAATCAACACCAGCCTTCTTATTGTAATGGACAATAACAATTGTTATTAAATGTAAATTTGGGGCACCCGGGTGGCTCCCCAACCCACTTGGCCATCCCAAGTCAGACACTTTACAGACTGACTTTGGCTCAGGTCATGATCTCAGGGGTTCTGGGATCAAGCCCTGTGTGGGGCTCTGTGCTCAGCGGGGAATTGGCTTCTCCCTCTCCCTCTGCCTCTCCCCACCCTCCCACCCCCACTCATGCTCTCTCTCTCTCTCTCAAATAAATAAATAAAATCTCTTTAAAAATTAAAAATATATATAAAATAAATACAACAACAACAGCCTCTGCCTTCGGCTCAGGTCATGATCTCAGGGTCCTGGAATTGAGCCCCCCATCGGGCTCTCTGCTCAGCAGGAAGCCTGCTTCTCCCTCTCCCGCTCCCCCTGCTTGTGTTCCCTCTCTAGCTCTGTCTCTCTCTCTCTGTCAAATAAATAAATAAATAAAATCTTAAAAAAACAACAACAGTGGTGATGTGTGAGAAGCCAAGAACTCTGGGTTTGCACAAATTCCGAATATTACTAAAAATCATTGTTTGGAATATGATTTTCTAAATGAGCACTTCGATACTGACTTTTAACATCGAGTGCAGCATTTACTTACTAACACATTTTTTACATGGACTAAAATTAATCTTCCTAGTTAATTTCAGAAATCAGGCAATAATGCAGACACATTGACAAACCCATGTAAACAGGTAAGGGTTGGGAGAAGGTGAAAAGGGACTCTCTCTCCCACCCTGGACGCCCAGCCATGGTGGCCAGTTTTCTGTGCTTCTTTCCCCAGAAGGGTATGTCATTTTGAGACTATTCAAAAATGCTGATTTAAGGTTGGTGGGGAGCAGCATGACAGGCAGAGTGGCTTCTACTTTTTCAGATGAGATATCTGATTTTTTAAAAAATAATGAGGACACAGTACTTTTTATACTATCTCTATGTTAAAGAAAGAAAACCCGGGGCGCCTGGGTGGCTCAGTCGGTTAAGCATCCATCTCTAGATTTCAGCTCTGGTCTTGATCTCAGGGTAGGGTGAGTTCAAGCCCCGCGTTGGCTCCACTTAAAAAAAAAAAAATCTATTAAGAGGAATCTACTGGAATTGAGAATGGCACAAATATCGAGAAGCCACCAGCACTGGGGAAGGCCGGAGGTGGAGTCTGTTGGCCCTTCAGAGCTTTGAGCCCCTTTGAGCCCAGCAACAGCCCCTGCCCTGGGCGCCTGGTCCTTGCTTGCTCGTTGGTACCCCCCAAGGGATAACCAAGAGGACCCTCAGGACCAGCAGACTCTCTGGGAGATCCTGGCACTATTGTCTGCAGGTTCCCAGGGTCCCGGCAGCTGACCAACTAAGCGCAAAGAACAGCCACTGTCCCCCTCCCAGGCTTCCCAGTCCCTCGATGCTACTGTTTCTTTCTTCGTAGCCAGCTGTAACTGACAGGACCCTGCCAGGACTGTCCTTTGAGGCCCGGAGAACCAGAATCACAAAGGTGTCCTCTTCGAGGCAGCAGGGACTGATGCAGGACACACAGTAAACCAAATAATTCCCCCAGGAAACCGAATCCCGTACCATAAAATCCACATCCCTGAGATTCTGGGAGAGTATCAGGGCCTGAGTCTTCCCTTGACAAATCATGTAATCTCTCAGCTTGCGCTTCTGAACCTTCCCCACCAGCCCAGCCGTTCTGTCCTGCCCCCTTTCTGAAATTTTATTATAAATGGAAACCGATCTGGTTTTGGTTTGTTTTCTTGATCTAAATGTATGTCACACTATTGAACACACTCCCGGGAGGCTCGGACACCCTCCCTTCGCCCCCGGGCGGTGCAGAAACCCTAGTCCAGTAGAATATCTGTGTCATCTGGACGAATATCAATTTCCATTGTACCACAGATGTCCTGACACACCAATTAATAGAGTTCCAGCAAATACGTATTGATCGGGGAGGCCCCACGGCTTGGTGACCAAGAGCTCTGCTCCGGGGTCCGACAAGCCTGGATCCAAATCAAAGCTCACTAATGCCCTGTGATCTCCTTGAATCTCAGTTTTGCCATCATTAAAATGGGGATAGTAATAGTATCTTCACAGAGTGGAGAGGACTCGAGTCTTAAAAATTTGCTAAGACATTTAGCACAGTACCAGCAGGGGATAAATGCTCCATGTATTATCAATGATGCTTATTATTAATAATCAGGGTACCCCAACTGTGTCCACCCCTGAGCAACGTCAAAAGGAAAATGGTGCCAGGAAAAGCAGACATGGGACTCAGGGAGCTGCCATATAAAACGTTTGGGTGCTTGAAAGGAAAAGGAAAACTTTGGGCACAGTAATCTGCCAAGACACCGGGAGGGGAAAGACTGGGAATTTTCTTCCCAGCTCCAGAGTCCAAAGTGCTCATAACTTAATTACTAAATCCTTTCCTTGCACGGAGTTTTGGCATCAAAGGGTCTTGCTTCCTGGGGTAGCTGGTTTTGTTTTTCTGGGAGAATAGGGGTCCGTGTGTCCCCCTTTCGACCCAGTCCCCATCACCTGCAGAAAGACTTACTCATTCGACACCAGATGGTCACTTGCTATGCACTGGGTGCTTTGTAGAAATGCCATTTTAGGCACCTCACATTATAGTAAATTCTTCTGTGGTTGAATCGATGGGGGAAACGCCCCAAGAATGGCATGCTGTAGATCTGGCCAGATGCCAATCCCGCCTGGGGGGTTCTCCACTGACTGGCTGGCCTTCCAACCCTGTCTTCATTTGGAGGGCTACTATTTTGTATCGGTAGAAAATTTGAGAGCAGCGACAGTGCATCCTGCTTATCAAATAAAGATGGGCCTTCCCATTTTTGGGGTGAGTCACGGGTGACTTGTAGGGGGAGATAAATGGCAGTTCTAAGTGACAGAAAGACTAAGAAGACGGGTCGTAGCCAAGGCCCATCTCCTCGAATAACTCGCACAAAACAAACAGCCCATGTATCCCGGAGACTTTAGGGAGTGGCCTGGAGGAAAAGCAATTTCTTCTGCTGGAGCCTAGAAGGGCCAGCGAGCCCTGGTCTCTGCCCAGCGCACGGTGGGTGGTCACACTGGCCCAGACGCACCCCTGGTCTGGTAAGTGGAATCTGACATGGCCACACGATGATTTGAGAAAAACTGCCACCACGGAAAAAGTGTCCAGTTTTGCTGATGAAAAGCGAAATGACCGTAAAGTGATATTTTCTGTTTCCTTGTCCCTCACTCAAGCAGTCCCTTCTTCATAGGCTTGCTTACCTCTGGGGCAAAGCATTGACTGGAAATTCAGGGCATCTCGCTCATGTTATCCTGTATGAATCGATTTCTTTTTCCTGATTCTCTTTTATCAACTTAAATCCCAATAAAACATAAATGACTCTAGGGGCGCCGGGTGGCTCAGTGGGTTAAAACCTCTGCCTTTGGCTCAGGTCATAATCTCAGGGTCCTGGGATCGAGTCCTGCACCCCACATCGGGCTCTCTGCTCAGTGGGGAGCCTGGTTCCACACTGCGCCCCCGCTTGCCTCTCTGCCTACTTGTGATCTCTGTCAAATAAATAAATAAAATCTTTTAAAACACAAACGTAGATGACTCTTCTTGAATCTTCCAAATTCAGATTCCTTCCTAGAGATACTCGTCAGACACTGTCCTCTGACTCTGAATTTCGGTAGAAATTTCTACTAATGTTTTCTGACTCCGCCGAGACTTCAACCAGTATGACCCGCCCAGGGAGATGATCTGAGACCCCCGAGTCGGCCCAGCCGGGAGTCCTTTGGCCCCAAACCACACAAGCATTCCCACGATCTGTCATGCGCATGCGTGTGCATCTGTCCCCGTGTACGTGTGCGTGCGCTCGTGTCAGAGAGGAGGAAGGGAACGACTGCGTGTCTCCCATCTCCTCTGTATCAGGACGGCAGGGAAGCGGGGAGGATGTGTGTGTGAGGCTGGGAAGAAGGGGGCAGGGAGGATCCTGGAGTTACTCTGTGCTCCAGTGAGATTCAGCCACACCTGAGGCCGATTCCTTGTTCCCACGGGGTAGCGCCCCAGCCAGATGGTCACAGGAGCCACCTTTGTCCTAGACCTTTGTCCTAGGTGCCTGGGCCACTTCCGTCCTACCTTCACACAGCCCCATGCTGTTCCACGCCCCCCGAACGCCAGTCCAGAAACCGGGCACCTTTCTTTACCCTCCACTTCCTGGTGCTCCCAGAGTCTACCCCTCAGCTGAGACCCCCTCCCAGGCCACACCAGCACCCAGGCAAAGACCATTCTGTTGTCATCCCTGGGAGATTTCCTGGAGCCTGGTTTTTGAGGGACAACTGGACCCCAGTTCCAGAAGCTGCTAGGCCCCAGTGCCCCTCAGGCCTTAGAAAGATTTGAGGCTCTGAGTCCCAGGGAGAAAACGGACTAGACTAGAGGGAAGTCATTCTCTGTGCCTGGGAGACTTGCTTTGGACCTCTCCAAAACTCAACCAAGGCTGGCCCCACTCCCAAGGGAGGACACTGCCTCTCTCCATTAGTGTTCTCCACCAGCAGAGTGGAAGCAGGAGGTCCAGACAAGTTGGGGCCGGGGGTGGGGGGGAACATCCCATCCACACCCCCACACAGCACTCACCACCAATCTGCCATGGGGAAGGAGGACAGCTTGTCCCGCTCCTGGGCCAGACACTGAGCATCCTGCCAAGAGACCCTGTCCGGAGCCTGGCCCACCATGGCTACCACCACTTGTCTTGCCTCAGCCCCTTTCTGTAGACCAGGAGCTTTCCTGCCTCTATCCAAGGTTTCCCTATTGGGAACACCTCCTTGACCGTCCTTCTGAACCTTCCCATGACTTGGGCATGGTTTAGCTCCTCTCAACCACGCGATATGATATTTATCTGCAGCTACCTTTCCTTTTCCCTCGCCTCGAAGCAGTTCCACCCAGCACAGGCATTAGCACCAACATCTCCCCCAGTGCCTGGTAAGAGCTCCCAAGTCCCCCTGCCACCAAGTGAACCCCAGCCTCCCTGGCGGCAAACTGTGGATCATCGCAGAACCCTCCCTCGTGGATTAAATACACAAGGATTATAAGGGAGAAGACGTCCACAGAGTCTAGGAGACGCCTAACACAGCGCATGATCTACGTGTCACAGCTGAGACTTGGAGTCGTGATCCGCTTCAACGTCCCACGCGTGCAAAACAAGGAACAGCATGCAGCGAAAATGTTGCAGACACGATGCCCTCTCTCGCCTTCAAATGCTTTCCCCACGTCTTGCTCTCTGTATCTCTTGGCTTCTGAACCTCAGGGCACCCTAAACAGCTATCTGGGGACCTCACAGTAGAGGGACTCATGACATCCACAATGGCCTTAAGTCAAAAGTTCCATACTTTCTGACCTGCGGTGCAGAAAACCTGCCACGATGTTCCTGCTCACAGAGACCATGATGCCTGGGCAGGGCCAGCGGGGCCGGCATCAGTGCTCCTCCATTCCCCCGCTCCCATCAGAACCCGGACACCGCTGCCTGCATCCCTTCTCCCAGCTGCCCCCTGGCTTTGTACACAGCATGCACTCACCTCGATAGCCTTGTAGAAGATACTGGTGCCGATCTGGACGACCTCCAGGTTCTGCTCCTGTTCATTCCGTGCACACTTGATGTAGGTCATCCAACTCCGGTGGTCCTCCTGGCTGGCATCAATGAAGTAGCGCACTGTGCCATCCTCATTGAACACCTGCGTGCAGGTAAATTAGAGACAGAGTGAGGCAGGCTGGGCCACCTGTGGCCCGGCCAGGCCCGTGCTGCTGGCATATCAGCCTATGCTCCCTCTATCCCCACAACAGCCCCAGGAAGGGCTATGGGCTCTATAATCATCTCAGCTTTCCTGCTGAGAAGGGGGGGCGGCGGCTCCGGGCTCAGACCCAGAGGCCAGGCAGCTAGAAGTGACCGACAGGGAGTCAGTCTCCAGGGCCCCAAGGGCTCCCGCAGCGACGTTCTGCCCATCTCCGGAAGGAAAGGGTCTCCAAGGGATCCCTGATTCGACAAAGTGCCATCCAGCTAATTCCCTGGGGATGCAGATGTGCTCCCCAAAGTGGCGGCAAGCACAGACCAGGAATCAGAGGGGGAGCCAGGAGCCTGGAGAGGGAAGGCTGGCTCACTGTGGCACCCTGGTCTGGCCCAAGCCCCGTTGTGGGAGCTACCAAGAGTACTCAGAGATCAGACTAGAACCCAACTTCCTAACCTAGCAAAAAATGGAGAAGATAGCTACTGGCCCAGGTCTCTAGGGAGGGAGGAGGTGAGGTCGGGAGAGGTCTCTGGACCTTGCCCTATTCTCTTCCTCTTGCGCCTGTGACCAGGGGCAAGATTTGTAACACTGGGCTTCTCCAGGGACTGTCAGGTGGGGGCTTGGGGGGAACCCATGGAGGGAAGGGAAATGAGATTAGGGAGAGGGTATGCCTCTCACCACTACGTGGTGAGAGCCCCAGGGGGGAGGAAATGCTTTGGGAATGGCTTTGTCCTCAGGGTGTCCTAAGGATGGCCATCCTGACATCTGGCACTGTCAAAGGATAGGAGGGTCAGAAGCCGGGGTGGAAGCTTCTCTGAGCTTCAGTTTCCCTCTGGAGAATGGGAATAATAATTCATAGGTGCTGAGATCATTTGGTGGCATGCAGGTCACTGACTCAGAAAGTTGACTCAACACCAGTTTGTCCCCTGATGATTTCCAGTTGTCACTATTCTGCCTGGGCTGAGAAGCCCATTCCTAGGAAGCACGGGCCCCTCCATTCTCCTTGCTGGCCACCCTCAACCCCAGCTCAGAGGGGCTTTCCTTGCAACTTCCTCCGGAGGAAAAGAATGCAGGTAGCTGGGAGGTCCCCCCCCCACCCCCGTTTGGTTTCTGTGCTTTCCGCAACTGCGCTGTAGGCAAGCGACATTGCTTCCTGGGGCCTCAGTGCCCTCCTGTGAAGTAGGGCCAACAACAGTCCCAAGGGTTGGCCAGAGGAAAGAGGATCAGAATTTCCAAACAAAGGCCTTAGCTGTCTTAGCTGGGTTGGGGATGCACCTCCAGGCACAGGGCGGCAGGATCCGCAATCCGGAGTCAGGCAGCACCAGCGCCCAAGCACCCCAAGATCCCAGCAGGGGCGACAGGGACAGAGTGGCGGATACCTACCTCCCACATCAGGTTGTTGTTCTTGCAGATGTCCACGTGCTCCGGGGCGATGACGCGGCCAGTGAAGGGGCCCATCTCCGTGCCCGCCTTGATCCATGTCTTGGAGAAGATGCCGAGGCCCTCGCCGGGAATGGAACTCTGCGCGATGATCACCTCCGCTGGCAGCACCAGGCTGGACAGCTTCTGCACCTCTGTGACCACCAGCGGGGGCAGGGGGACGGAGTCAGAGCCTGAGGCAGGGGCTGGTAGGCTCTTCCCGCCAGAGACTCAGGGCGGTCCCATCCGGCCAGACCCACCTCAGGCCCGCCCTGGAGTGACTCGGGAGAAGTCACTGGGGTGTGTGTTTGTGTGCGGTGGAGGGGGGCGGCGGCGGCGGGGGCGGGGATTGCTCAGCGCAGGAGTCGCCTCAGTTTGCAACCCGGAACATCTGTGCCCTCCGAAGCAAGAGGTGCTTTGGGGCTCATTTCTAGGAGCTTTTATTGCTTTTATTTATTTATTTACTTATTTGGTCTCTCCACTAATTCTCAAAGCATCCACAACCTCTCTGACCCTCACCCTGTAAGATTTAAGAACGACTGTGCCCACCGCAGCGGGCGGTTTTACATATGGGTAAACTGGGGCCCGCTTCCAGGAGGCGGTGATCGCCAAGCCTGAGATCGCCCTTCCGCGGGACAATCCGCGCTCACTGCGTCTCCCTGCTCAGAACACGGGGCGCTGTCGAAGGGCCCCGGAGGCCGCCAGGAGCTCTCTTTTCTGGGGTGCGGGAGGCCCTGCGCGTCGGGCCGGCTGGTGACTGCGCTGGGAAGAGACCTCAGGCTGCGGGCGGGTGGTGGGGGGGGCGCGGAAGCTCAAAAGGAACACGGGGCGCTCTCTGGGTGACCCCGGGCCCACCTCGGTCCTCCTCGCCTCCCAAGATCCCAGGTGCCAGAAAGAGCGCCGGACCTCCGTGAGCCCTGAAGTCGCCCTCTGAGCGGGAAAGAGCCCGGCGGCCCCCAGCCACCCCCCCTCCCCGCCCCATGCCCCTGCGGGGCCTGGCAGCCGGAGTGGGGGCGGCGAGGCGGACAGGGACGGCCTCCGTGTCTTACAAGGTTCCCCTCTAAGCTACCTGGGAAAATAGCCGGCGAGCGGGCCGGCTGAAAGCGCAGGGGTGGGGGGGGGGTGTTAAACGGTGTCCATTGCGGCGCGGCCGGCAATTTGTCACGCTGTTAAAGTGATAGCATTCATTCGGCTCCATTCGAAAGAAATTGCTAATTCTAAATTCATTAGCCCTGGAAGAATGCTGTAGCAGTAAATTGTAGCTCAATGCGGAGAGGACTTGTTTAAAAGGGGCCGAGGAATTCCCCTTACAAAAAGGGGGGATTAGATGGTTGACATAGCGTGAATGGAAGTGGAATTAGTCTGCACGGTGAATTAAGAGAGGAACAGAAATCGTCACGGGGGAAGAGAGGGCGACGCGCAGAGATGCCAGCGCCGGGCAAAGATATTGTTTGCAGGTTGATGAATGAGGAATAAGAACTTGAGACATCTTAAAGAAAAGAAACTTTTCTGGCTCTCTCTTTCTCTCCCTCGCTCCCTCCGCGGCTTTCTCTGCGGCCCGCCCGCCCTCCGCCCCCTCCCCAGCCCCCTGCCTTTTAAAGTTCTCGGTTGAAGTGGGAACTTTCTCGGGTCAAGCCCAAGTTAACTAAATGAATTTTAAACCCCTTCTTTTTGAGTCAACTGCTATTACACGCCTAGTAAGGCTTTAAATGCCGGGAACCCGCCGGCTCAAAGGGGTGAGGGGCGGGCCGGGGGGCGCCAGGGGCCGCAGGGCCCGGGCAGCCTGGACGCGGCGATCCCTTCTCTGAGCCGGCGGGGGCGCGGAGCGGCTTCCCGCCCCGCCCGGGCCTTGGCTGCTTGCGCCCCGGTTCGGCTCCCGGGAAACTGAGGCCCACCGAACAGCCGCGACGCCCCGTGGCCCTGCCGTGCCCCGTGCGTCGCCAGGACGGGAACCCTGCGCCGCCTGGAGGCGGGGGGGCGCGACCGGCCTCGACGGCGCGACTCACCGCCGGAGAAGGACTGCGCCAGGACCTCGGCGGTGAAGGCTGTCTTGGGACTGGCGTGGTGGCTCTTGTCCTCGAAGAGCTGCTCGCCCAGCACGTTGCGCCAGCGGCCGTACAGGAAACTGTGCAGGATGTCGGAGGTGATGACCTCGGCCAGTGCCAGCCCCGGCGCCTTCAGCCCGGTCTTGAGCACCAGGGCCTCAGCCGGGAGCACGGAGCCCATCATGGGCGGTCCGGGGCTCGCCGGCGCCGGGGACGCACAGCCGGGCGGACAAGGGGATGCGGCGGGAGAGAAGGGAGCGCAGGAGCGAGAGAGGAAGGCTGTGACGGAAGAGGAGGAAGAGGAGCAGGGGGAGGACGAGGACGAGGAGGGGGGGAGGACGCAGGAGGGAGCGGGAGGCGAGGCGGGCTGGGAAGAAAGTGAACGAGGGGGAGCGAGGCGGAGAGGGAGAGAGAGATGGAGAAATCAGCAGTGGTGGCAGAGGCGGCGCGGAGGGCTGGAGACACAGGGGTGGAGGCGGAGGCGGGTGCGGGGGGTGCAGGGCGGGTGGGAGGCGGACGGCTGCAGAGAAACGGCGGCGAGGGGTTCTGGGACGCGCGCTCGCCTCTCGCACACCCGGCCCGGACGGTCTTCGCCTTGGCAAAAGCTCAGCGCCTTTATAGGAGCCGCAGTGACCCTCCTAATTGGTTATTAATGACCCCCTGACGTCGGACAGACTTGTTGTACCCGGCCGGGCTCGAGGAGCCCTCGTCGCCAGAGCTCAAGGGGCGGGGGCGCGCGGGCCTCCGAATTGTCCCTTTTCGCTCCTCCCGCTCCTCCCTGGCCCTTCCTCTCCTCTCCCCCCCTCCTCTTCCTCCTCCTCTCCCCGTGGGAAGCGCCGGTCTGGGAGGGAGGCTCAGCCCCCGGGGAGGAGAGGAGGGGACGGAGCAGGGGAGGGGGCGCAGGGAGGCTCTCTCGGACTCCAGGGACCGGACAGGGCAGGAGGGACACCTGGCCTTGGGCCCTGCCGGCTGTCGCTCACCCACCAGCCCAGGGCGGATCTGCGCTCCTCATCCCCGGCGGCCGGCGGCATTCACCTCCCCTAGGCTCCCTGGCCCTCTTGGCCAGCTGGGCTCTCCGGAGCGCCGAGCAGAGCTCCAGAACGCGGGATGCGCTGCTCTCCTGATGCAGACGGCGCTTGCCAGAGCCAGCCGCTTCGCTTCAACCGGGCTGCTAGACCACCGGGTTCGCAGCTGGCTGCCCAGTGTGAAACTCTTCCCCTGCGGCAAGGGCTGCAGGGAGGGGCTGCAGCCGCATTGGGGCTGGGCCCTGCCCTAGACGGTGTTGTGGGCAACGGGATCCGACTCTGGCCGGCTAGGGACCGAAATCCTCACAGGCCGTGGGTTGCCCAGAAAGGTTTTTCTGATGGATATGGGAGGGGGCTGGAAAAGGGTCCCCAGCCAGTTCTGAGTGTGAGCAGCCGTGCTCCAAAGCCAAGGATCTCCGAAACTTCAGGCGGTGCCCGCGGGCCTTGAAGCTCCGGCCTTCCAGCTCCTTCGCTCAGCTGCGACCTCGGGGAGACCTCGGCATTTTGCAGTCCTTCTTTCTTGCCTCCCAGTTCTCCTTCTTTCTCTTCTGGCCTCCCCCTTCTCTCCCTTCCTCCCAACTGCCCCCTTCCCCATTCCACCAGGATGCTTTCTGCGCACAGGTTCCAAGGCACCCAGGGCGCCAGCACCGTGTTTCTCCGTCTCTTTCCCCGTGGCAAGGAGCTCCTGAGCCCGGCGCCTAGGAGGGAAGGCCAACGCTTCCTGCAGCCTTTGCTGACTTCTTGGGTTAGCCTCAAGTCCCCGACTCCAGCCCTAGACACTGGAGGGGCATCATGGAGGCACCTCCCACCCTCCCTGCAATGTCAGATTCTGCTAGCAGAGTCCAGTTTTCTGGACCCTCAGGGAAGGGGTTGGGCTGACGGGTTAGCTGGAGGAATCAGACTCTCCACGCTTTCTCCGCAGCACGGGGCCTTGGGCAGATGGTCAGGGGCCTGGCCTTCCCATAAGGAGTCACTGTCCTCACACCCCTTGGCAAAAAACTCCTTCTGCGGGGCGGTGGGTGGGGGCTGTCTTGGCTTTTGCTAAGCCATCCTCACACCTGGCCACCACGGACCCCCGGCCTTGCGGGCCCAGTGCCAGCCAGTGATCTCTGCCGTCCCAGTGTCCGCATCCGGACATAGAGTAAGGAAGGCGGCAATCGCCGGCCTTCAGACACAGAACCCCGGTGAGCCTGGAGGTGATGCCCAGAGGAGGCTGCTCGGGGCACAAGGCACGACCGTCGGGCTTGGCGCCAGCAGAGGGCAGCCCTGCAGAGGAGCCAGCGCAGCTTGCGGGTTAGGGTCCCGGAACCTCAGATCCCTTCCAGATGCCACCATCGAGTCACCACGGGCTCAGGTTTGAGCGGAGGGCTCTGCCAGAGGGGGCCGAGGGAATCCGAGTCTGGGTGCCTCACCCATGCCTGGACCTTGGTTTCTACAAAGACTTGGTGAAAGGGAAAATGCGCCAAGGCGAAGGAGACTCCATGGGGAGCACCGCCCAGCGCTTGGAGCTCAGTTCTCAAGGCTGGCAGCCATCCTCGCCGCCTTCGGGAGATCAAAGGAGGAGGAGGACTGCTGAGCGTCCTCAGGGCCGCTCTTCTCTCTGGGCCTCGGTGTCCCTGTCTGCGCAACAGTTTAGGTGGGACTTTGTGAACTGAGATTTCTTCCCACCTTGTCCCGTTTTGGGTCAGGTCACCTTACTCTGAAAGCGGGGAGGATTTTGTCAATTGCCTGGGCCACACCCCAGAGAAAATCCCTCAGGTCTGTGCATACTTCCAACAATGGGCACAGCCTTTGGGACCTGCACCCCAGCTCGGGGTCAGAAGGTGAAGGACCGAGGGCTCCAACGGGACTAGGGAGCCCTACTCCTTTCCCCCAGACCCGAACTCCTAGGCAGCGATGCTGTGGGCACAACGGAAGCGCGGCTGGGGCCAGCCTTCCAGCTCCCACGCCTGCCAGCCCGGTGCGTCTGTGCGCTCAAATTCTGTGCTTCTGATCGAGCCGCAGGCCCACCTGGACTGCGCCCCAGGGAAAGGGGAGCTATACGGAGCGCCCCAGTCTCAGGGCCCATTGGAATTGGGGAGCAAGCCGGGTGCGCCGAGATTGCGAAGGAAGATACTGCACGTTCCGGAGTTTCTTGGCGGCTGAACCCTGTGGTTTTCCGCGGGGCCCAGCCGAGGAGTGTGCCCGCGCCGCAGCCCCCTACCCTACCCCAGACCGGCCAGAGCTCGCAGGCGCCGCCCTTGTCGCGCCTGCGGGCCGCCGTTCCGAGATCTCTTTAATATTCATGGGCGTTAATAGAGAGGCCCCCAGTATATCGGTCCATTGTGGGCGGCTCGTAGGGCTTGAATAGGCCCCGGCCCTCTTTCTTCGGCGCAGCTTCCCGAGGGGCCGGGCCAGGAGTGAATGGCCCCGCTTCCCGCCCCGCGCCCCCTCCCCCTTGCGGGAAGAACATCTTTATCCCCGCCGCCGCCGCCGCCGCCGCCGCCACCCCGGCCCCCATTCACGCTGCCCCAGCTCCGGGCGGAACGAATCAATCGGCCGCGGCTCTTCGGAGGTCATCCGCGTGGCCCGGGCTCCCCCTTCTCCCGGAGCCCACGGGAGTGGAGAGAGGGAGTCGGCCGCAGGCCGAGGGACCCACGGGCTGAGGGACACTTGGGGGGGGCGGCAAGGGCCGGGGAGCCCCGGGAAGGGGGGCCGCCCCCGGGCAGGTGAAGCGGGACTCAGGGTCCTACGGTCGCCCGACGCCGGCCGATTTCTACCTGTTGCCCGCACGGAGCGGAGCGCGGAGAGAACGGGGGCCACGGCGCCAGCTCCTCCCGAGGCACCGGCGCGCGCCCCCCGGGGCCGGCGGCAGCACCCTCGAGCCCCGGGATCCGGGGTGGGGAGTGGCCCGGGGCTCCCCAGGCCCGACGGCCCGGCCCGCAGAGCACTTTCGTTCTTGCCTCTGTGCCCGGGCTCAGCTCGGGGACGCCCCGGTCCAGACAGCGCGCCTCAGCTGGGCGTTCCGAGGGGAAGCCGGGCTCCCGGCTCCCGCGCCCTCACTCAGCTCCCCCGACTCGGGTGGAGGGGGGCGCGAGCCGGTCAGGCGGGGCCGAGCGCCCGGGTCCCCGCCCCTCCCGCCCCGCCGGCCCTCGGAGAAGCAGAAAGGAGCCCATTGTCCGCCGGGAAATACATTTTTGGGGGCCGAGTGAAAGCCCGTCTTTCTTTTGAACTTTAGAAGAAAGTCTTCTGCCCTCGCCCCTCGGAGGGAGAGATTTGTCTCCCCTCCCGGGGGCCCCGCGCGCCTCCTCCTCCCGAAACATCTGCCGGGGGAAAATCCACCCTGGAGGGCAGATCGCGCTCGCTCTAAGCCCCGCGAACTCATTAAAAAGATATTAGCGGCGGGGGCAGGTCCCGCGCAGGTATCGATCGGCCGGAACGAGCCGAGGAAGAAAAGGCGAAGAATGCGGTCGCGCCGCGCCCCGACCCCCTACCCGGCTCCACCGGCCCCCCGCGCCAGAGCCCCGCGGCGGCGGTGGGGCCCCCGCGCGGTCCGCAGCGGCCGGCGGCCTCCGGCGGCGGCTCGCCCCCTCCCCCCGGGGTCCCCCTTCCTCCCCTCGCCGGGCTCCTCCCGCGGCTCCCCTCCTCGACTCGCCACCGCCGGCCCGCGCTGCCCCGCGCGCGTCGCTCGCCTTCCCCCGAGCGCTCTCCTCTCTCGGCCATGCTCCGGGCCCCTCGCCGTTGATCTCACACCCTCTCCGCTTCCTCCTCCCATTTCTCTCCAGTGCAGAGTCTCAGTCTTTCGGGTCCCAGTCCCGCAGTGGCCCAGAAAAACTGCTTCCTCTCGTGGGGCCCGCATGTCCCCCGGCCCCGTTCCCATGGGAGGATTCAGGGCTCCAGGACGCTCCCGCCGGCGCCTACTAAGGCCCGACGGGCTGCTAAGGCTATGGTTTCATTAGACGTGACTCGGGCCAGACCTGCCCGGGGGCTGCCACACGGAGTGGTGGCCGCAGCGCCTTGAAGAGGGACAGACCCCCCCCCCCCGCATCTCGTTAGCCTCCCAGGCCTGGCCCGGGAGAAACAAAGGCGCGACCCTGGGCCCAGGTGACTGGCGCGCGAGTCTCTCTGGGCGCGGAGGGTGGGGACTCCCCCCACTTCCTGGCGCCTCCCGGGGGCCACT